TTGTCCATTTTCAGGTTGGGATCTGAAAGATCTAGGAGGAAAATTGTTACTTGCAGTTGAACAGGAAGGGGTATGGGATGCCGACAAAGGGGAAACACATGGGAAACATCTGCTCCAAGGAGGCATTTTGGAAATAAGCTTCAGCGAGAGGGAAGGAGCAGCAGCAGCTGTGCTGCGTGCCGCAGACCACCAGTGCTGCGGTGAGYGGGCAGCGGTGGTGACAAGGCTCTGCACAGACAGCGTGGGGACCCAAATTGCAGCCTTGTGGCTGAGACCCATCTCTAATCCAGGCTGAAAGGGAAAATTTAGAGCCTCCGTGGCCGCCCTTTAACCTAACCTAGCCCAGGGGAGGGAGCCGYGAGCTTTGCATTCATGCAGGGCCGTCAGCGAGCACAAAGAGAGATTTATTGGAAGYGTGAGATCCTTCATGGAGGAGAGCTCATCAGCCCCAAATCAAGGAGGTTTCATAATCGCTATAAACGGATCCAAGTCCTGGTTGCTACTGAAAGATGTGTTAGCTCCCGTGTTGATGGGATATGGTGAGATAAAGTAAAGTGGAAACTGATCCAACCAAAATCTTAGCCAGCAAGGACAAAATGGTAACTTTCTGACCTGGGGAAGCTGCTTTCTATCTTTTTATCTAATGATAAGTTTCTTTTGTGTGATGTATCTGGTATTGAGAAAAGATATTAAGTTTTTWAAATATTTTTCCCATAAATTGTTAAAATGAGGCACTCCTTGTTTCTCTAGATGTTTGACTTCATATCTTTTTCCACGTTGCTGCTTGGGAGATTGATCCAAAGCCCATGAAAGCAATCATAGGCTTCATGTTACTGATAGCAGTCTTTGAATCGGGAATTAATTCTGCTTTTGTGCCTGGGGTTGTACAATTTATACGTCACAGCTCAGGCTTTGTATCCCATAAAATATACATTAAAGAAAAGAAGCCAGTATAAAATTCATCTTGTATATCCAATTGTCTTTATTACCCCTGGAATTTATAGCAAGTCTTCTTGCACTCAGAGACAATGATTGCCCTAGAATTGATCTAGTCACTGTTTTCAAACTTCTGTGGGTGTTTTTTCCTTGTGTTTGTTTTGGTTTTGGACAAAAGTATCTCCGCAGCTCTACAGTAAGGAAGATAATACCATTCAAATACAGCTTCACCATCATTTGCACATGAAGCACAAGCAACTGCAGTTGTGGGATTACTTCCAAGTGAAGAGCAAAGGTAAACAGAGTCATTAACATGGATTTTGATTGAGACTGTTTTCTTTTTCTGGATGAAGGAAAACAGCAACATTTTCCATTAGGCCAAATAAAAGCAAGTTCTGCTTCCCTGGTGGAAAAGGCCACTCCCCAAACCCGAGTGTTTTCAGCGTGGATGGGGAGGGAGAGGCCTAATGATCCAAGAACAGATTCAGACTGTGGAGATTTTGTTCAGTGGCTCTCAAGCTTGACAATGTTGCCTCAGGCCTCCAGGCTTTGGAGTTAGGTCAGGCCCAGTTTGSTTCTGTGCAAATATGGGTGTTTTGAACAGTCCTGAGAAACTGGGACCCCCTGTACTCCAGAAGGGTGCCGAAGCCTCCAGTTGGAGTTCAGTGTAAATGTGGCAGTTTGTGTTGACAAAACTTTGTGTTTAGCCTTAGCTAAAAACCTGTTGGGTGGCAACTGCTGCAGTAAACTACGTACAAGCTGTTTCAGCTCATTCAGTTGTAACTCCCCTGGTCACCTGGGCGCACTAAAGGCCCTCTGACTGGACACTCCTGATCTCCTGATGAGTACACACTTGGTGTGGCTTTGTGCTGGGACACTTATTCAGAGTAAACACGGAGTCCCCATTGCTGCCTACAGCGCCCGGGGGTTTCCTGTCAAGCTGTTGGACTGACRCAGGCTGCTGCTCGTAGGAGATTTTGACAGAGCTGCTGCACAAGGAGGGAAACCCACGGGCAAGGAGGCTTCTCAGAACATGTSCCGTTAGTGTATTGACCTCTCCAACGTCTGTTTGTCCCTGGGAAGTTTTTTGGTTAAGTAACGTTCTGCTATGTCCTATCTGTGAGTTATTCCATCAGTAAATTTCCTGATGTCCTGCACACTTTGAATAAAAGAGCTTTAATTTTCAATGTGTACCTGCAACTAAGGGAAGATGAGATTTGCTCTAAAACTCTTTTGATTTGCCATGCCATTAGTTAACAGAAGGAAAGTAAGAGGGGGAAAACGGTCAGTTTTGGTCTTGAACTGGAAGAAGGGAAGATAAGACTGCATCTAGGGAAGGATTCTGCTGGTTCTCTGGCAGTAGGTACCTGTAAAAGTGGAAGAGAAAGGATAAGTCTGTCAGTAAATGGTGGTGAAGAGCCTCAGAGTTACAGTTTGCTGCCACAGCTGGACCAGTGTTTTCAACAGGGGCCTATGCAGAAGGAAGGAGCAAGTCTACTCTGGCTGTGTTGTCCCCTGCACTTGCCTAGCAAGCATCTTCTCTAGGATGTGTGGCACGAGAGAGGGGAGAGGAGTAGCAAACATCCATGTCTTCATCTTTTCTCATGGCTGGAAGCTGAATACCCAGAATTTTCCAAAGGGCTTTTCCAATATTGAAGTCTTTCACACGATTCATGTACTTTTTTAGCTAAACCAAAAAGATCTGTGATTCAGTTTGTCCTGGTGGCCACATCTCTTGCGCAGATAGCATAAGACCCCTACCAGCCCAGGATTTATAAACCAATTTTCTCTTTGTGAGGCTCCTTTGCAGCTTTAATGAGCTATGTGTAGCAGATATGGTATCAGCGCTTTCTTTTTAGTATGAAAAAAGTCTGACAAAGGGAAGAGTCCTGGACTTTCGCCTGGATCTCTTGAAAGGCAGGAGCCAAGAACAGGCAGCATCTGTACCTCTCAAATGTGTACAGAGAGCAGTAAATGTTTATCCGTGCTTTCCTTCACTGGGAAATAAACACTGAGGACACTGCTGCCGTTCAGAGAGGAGCTCTGTTTCTGCACCAGCCAGCTCTTCAAAGGAGACATCGRTTTCCTACTACAAGTGTAAGGAGACCCTGAACTCAAATATTTCTCATGCTTTCACAGGTCTGCCAGAAACATTAGTGCACAAAGGCAGAAACCCAGCTGTTTATTAAGACCTAATTTAAAAGTAGGAGTGGAGAGGAAAGGGAGTTTGTGGCTGCTTTTCTCAGGCTCAGTGGGAAAAGGGTATCGAGTTGCTGAGCTTATTTTGCATAAAAGTATCTTGTTTCTGAATATTAATTGACACCAGCTGCTGAACCAGAAGGGCTTTGGGGCAATTATGGTTTATGCCACACGGAGTGCTTGGACTTTCTAATGATATTTTTAAAGATGTCTGTTTTATTAAAAAAAAAAAAAAAAAAAAGTCTTGATTGTACCACTAGTTTTTAACTGCTGCTGGGAGAGCAGTCATTGCCCAGTGCTTGGCTGCCTGCCTTACACTGAAAAATGCTATTTGACAATATAAAAAAGACAAGTGTTTAAAATAGCTTTATTTTTACAAGCAGATTTTACTACTGATTAGATTTTGTAATTGTAGGCAAAGCGGGAACAGCATGAGAGAGCACAAAATAGGAGTAATTCCTCCYGGTGTCTCCATTAGGGAATAAGTGCTCTTGGTGAGCAACTTTGGTCATGGAAGCTGTTACACAGGAGTGAACAGGACTGAACAGTCACGTATGCAGGGGTTTGAAGAACAGACCAGCTCAGGTGCTGCTCTTGAGAAAGTCCAAATTCACTTCTTGGCCATAAGAATGCCTCAAAAATCCTTCTAATCCCATCTCCTGTCTCTACTGGTGTGCAGCATCAGAGGTTTGGGGAAGGGGTTAAAGCAGAGAGCAAACACAAATTGCTGCTTTCTCTATGATACTCCTGCCTTCCAGTAACTTGTGCTTCACTGTGTTTCAAGCTAAGAGTTTCTGTTAAGAGCTTGTAGAGGATCTCTTGTTCATTTTTTGAATTGCATTTTTTGAGCTTGCATACGAGCTTGACCTCCACAAAATCCTGTAGCAAGGAGTTCTGCGAAGCAGTTATGTATTATGTGAAGAACTTTTTTTCCCTTTTGTTTGTTCTAAAACTCCTGCCTAATGATTTCTGTCCTACCCCTTAGTCCCTGTGCTAGCAGAAGCAGTGAGCCATCATTCCCAGGTTAGGGGGTTTAATGCCCTACAAGATTTGAGTGGGCTCTTGTTTCCCCTCTTGGCAGTTCTTCCCCAGCCTGGAGTCCCTGCTTGTCTGCTCACTCACTCCTGTAAAGAAACAGTTCTGGAGAGTTCAGCATTCTTGTCGCTCTCGTCTGCTCCTCTTCCAGTTTTATCTTTGAGGCGCTAATCCAAAACAGGCACGATATCAATTCCAAATGTCACTGCTCATGAAATACTTGTGTTTTCTTTTTCCCAGGCTTTTTGGTGGGCAGTCTATAGCGTGTCCCCTTACATGTAGGTTTTAGTCTTATAAAGAATGTGCATACAGACAGTAGTTCTTGCAGGGAAAGGAGGGAAGATATCTTAGGTTTATGTTTTCCCTAATAAAATGTAATGGTTTTGAAAATGAAGAATTGACTGTCCAGGCTGTTAATGTAACTCATTTCTGAGCCGGTTTAGAGCCTTTTTTCTTTCTTTCGTTTCTTTTTTTTTTTCTTTTTTTTTTTTTTTTAAACAATGCAGAGGAAGAATGCAATTCAGAAGAAAAAAAAGCATTGAGTTTTCCGCCTGTTCAGATTCCAGAATGAAACTATTTTACACCCAGAGAACTTAATCAAAAATCGCCTGGACATCCTCTTCCTTTCTGTAGCAGCTGTTTCCACTCAGTATTTTAATGAGTGGGCTGAACTAAAACCTTTGGGGAAGGGCTTCCCCCCTTGGCATCTCTGTGKAAAAGCCTGTGCTGCAGTGTCGCGCTCTGGGCTGTGCTGAATGAGTAAAAGCCTCTGCCTGGACTGTCCAGAGCAAGGGCTACATCATGTTCTCAGCTGGCTGAGCTCCTCAAGGCAAGCTTTTAAAAATTTCCCTGGATATTAAGCTGATGTGACTTTGGCCACAAGAAGTAAGTATTTAAACTCTCTGAAGATTTAAGACTTCTCCAGTTTCTTTTGTTTCCTCCCGTTAATAATTTGTGGAATATCTGCCCTCTTTGGAGGTAGGCTCTGTTTGAATTATTTCATGGTTCCTGTTAACTGTTTATGTATTTTCTAAATGATTTATAGACTCMGAGCTCATGCTGCACACAGATCCTTGGAGGAAGGTAACTCGCTTGGTGGTGTGCACGAYGTGCGTGGAGAGTTTTATAATTGAATGGGACTTTCTTTACAGAAGCTTTTTTAAAACTATTTTGAGTCTCCTTTTTCTTGAATTATCGTTGCCTGCTTGATTTTTTTCTAAGTGTGGTGTGGTCTGTTTTGCAAGTTTTTGCTTTCACAGTAATATAATAATTTCTCTGTCCTTTGTGTGCCGTCTCRCACTAAGCAGAACAGAGAAAATGGTGAAAGCGGCAGTGCTTTTTTGCTGCTTTTCCTTCGGCACTAGATTACATTCACTGAACTCAGCAAATAGCAGAATTCCCTATGGAGTACTGGGAAGCAGCCCAAATGCTCTACAGTTGTATTTTGCTGGACTATTTTGTAGCAGGGTTTTCTTTCTTCCCTTTTTTTTTTCCTCCTCCCTTCTCTCTCTCTCTCTCTCTCTCTCTCTCTCTCTCTCCCTCCCTCCCTCCCTCCCTCCCTCCCTCCCCTCCTTTCTTCTCCCCCTACCTCCCAGTCTGTTGAAGTACCTTCTGCTAGGACTATATTCCTCATTGATTCCATTCTCAGATGGCCTTAAATCCCCCCTAAATGAACATCCCAACAAACGGAAAAGAGGTTCCCAGTGACTAACAGCAAGTTCAAGTTAAGAAATACTTTACTGCTTGGGGAATAAAATGGGCTCGGCTTCAGGTTTTCTTGATAGCTGCTAATTTGTGGCTGAAATTACTGGCTTAGTTTAATAGAAAAATCAAGACTGGCACTAAGCCTTGGACACTTAATGCCTGGGCGTGGTTCTGGACTTCTCTGCTGCAACTGGAATCATCTCGTGCCAGACCCAGCTTGATGATTTAACACAATTATTAGTAGTAGGCTTAAAATATTTTGAGAGACATGGAGCTAGATGCTTCCCCTAGTTACACTGGCATAAATATGGGACAATTCCTTTCATTTTAAAAATTCCAGGCTCTGCAAGTATGCAGACACTTGGCCTTTCTGACAGGCATTGTGGTTCAGGATCTTCAGTATCAGTTCCCAATTTTATGCTACTCTGGCAGCCACCTGTGTCTGCTGCAGGACTCTTCACCTCACCTGACTTTGCATGGCAGTAGAAACCTGTCCTTCCCCAGAGGGGAGCAGAAACAGGGTCTTGGGGTGTTTTTACAGCCACAGGTGACCATGTGTCGCATGGAGTGACCCAGCAACCACGCTCAGCTACTGAAATTCTTCTTTGGGCTTTGATTGAGAAAGGAAAATGCAGCTAGTCTGGTTTCCATTCTAATATAACACCAGGCTATGAGCCTGAATCTCTTTGTTTGGGAAAGCCAGGCTTAAATTGAGCCAGTTAGAAGTTAGAATAACTTCAACTCCATCTTAAGAGCCCACTTCTGATTTAGGTACTCTCGTGTGGTAGCTGAAGGTTATAATCTTGTCTCTCTCAACACTGGGCCTCAGTTTTAGTGTATCTGTTAGGTAATAGCCACTCTGAAAGGCTGGAGCTGTCTTACATATTGCTGCTTCCAAGTGAGGAGTCCTGTTCCTCAGGACCATGTTCAGTGGACCCTGTCCACCCTGGAGAGCCRTGCCCAGAGATACCTGTCATTGTCCCACYTCAGCAARCCCTCTAACAGAAAAAACTTAGAAACAACTTAGAGGTGTTTTTGTTGTTGTTGKTGGTGGTGGTGGTTGTTTTGTTGTTGTTCCTTCCTTCCTGCCTTCCTTKCCTTGTTCCTTTTCTTCCTTTTCTTGATGTTCCTTTCCGAATGATCCCATGTTTTTAATTGTTTCCAGACTACCTTGGAAAAGTTCTTGCCAGTCTATGCAGGCTGTCTTCTTGGAGCAGCAGTTTTTGGCTCTTCCACATCCTTTTGGATGGAAAATGCTGAGTAGTCCAACTCTAGGCCTCTTTCTAGCGATTTCTATTTCCAACATCTTTTCCCACCATGTGGCTAACAACCCTTAAACACTCCAGTAAGGAGGTTCCTATGCATTCTACGAAGATGACTTCTGTGAGTCTTTTCAGGGATGACCGAATGTTATCTCCTCATGGGGAAAATCCTCTCTGTGCTCCAGTGGTTCAGTATTTACCATCCTGCAGAGCCCTCAGGTCATGGCCATCAAGGGAGATGCAACCAGCCCGTGACAGGCAGAGGTGGGCACAACAACCTTGCAGGCCCAGCCTGCCTTCGGACCGTGAAAACTAGTTTTTGCACTGAACTCGGGCTTATCAGGGGAGTGTGTTTAACACCTAATTCTGTTATACGGGTGCTGTGTGGTCTTCGGTATGTTAATTCCTCTATCTACGCTGAATTTCCATACTTGTTAATGAATAGTATTTTCTCTGTGTAGGTTTGAGCTACTCTGGTAGGGAGTGTCTCCCTAAACACAGCCAGCACATCAGGGCCAGGGGTTATCTGGGCTGTTAGATACTGCTGTAACAGAAGTACTGAAATACAGAAAAGATTCTTTCAGGCAATTTTATCACCTTTGTTCACATTTAAAGTGCTGAAGTAGGGGTCTACTGAAAAACTTATTAAAAAAGTGYCACATCTGTCAATACTGTCAGTCCTACTTCACTTTATTACTAAAAATCCATAAAAGTGAGATCTTTGTGCATCTTTTGTTGTTTTTTTTTTCCCCCCCCATTTCCTTTTTATATTAAGCCCTGGTACCCTCTGAATGGAGACAAGCATAGATTTGTGTTGAATGGCCCTTACCAGCTAGATTGTAGCACTGTCTAGCATATGGATATGATTTAATTTTTATAAGTTATTTTTAGATTGCATTCAAATCTACTGGCTCCATTTGCATGCACTGAAGTTTCCCCAGGGCCACAGGAACATGACTCGGGGATGTCCTGTCGTTTGAGAAATCCCGTGCAGCAGCTGACTCGATTACTTTGTGAATCCCAACCATTAGGCAGTTGGAGCTCCCAAGACTCTTAAGGGACCTACTAAGTTTTGACAGAGAATGAACCCCAAMGCCTGTGGCTGTTTTGTTTGCTTCTTATCGTGTTACCAGGCTGAGAAGCTTTGGGCACTCGGAGTGAGCCGCAAAACAGGTTGGCGCGGATCTCAGATACCTCCTCAGAGGCTTTGTTCTCGCTCAGTGTCCCTAAACCTTCTTTGTGCTGCAGTCGTCGTTGTCATTTCCATTATTGCTGAGTGTGATGTCAAAAAACCAAAAAAAAAAAAAAAAAAAAAAAAAAAAAAAAAAAAAAGAAAAATAAGTAGAGAGGAAGTTGGAGTCCTTTTTAATGGAAAAGAGGAGGAAGTGAAACGAAAATATTTGTAGGGAATGTTGTTTAAGCATAGAATTTTCTGCATGATATGCGAGTGGATCTTTATATGAAGTTAGTATACCTTGTGAAGAGCAGAGTGTTCACACTAATTTGTGAATGTTTTCCTGTAGATAGTATGTACAGAAAGATTGATAGCCATGAGATAATAAAAGATATTGGTGGTTTTGCTTTCCCTGTACTCAATATTTCCCTTCCCAACTTTTTTAGATTGTGGATCAGAGATAAGTTTGGAGGAGAGGGGGGAATGGGATTCTTAGAAGTAATTATTAGTGATACTTTTTGAAAATGGAGCAGTGCTAGGAAACACTTTGGGCCTGTTCTTATGTCTGAGTTGCTAATCCCAAATTTTTGCAATTGGTCAGATGAAGATACTGCCTGCAAATACTGATGTGGCTCAGGTTCCGTGATGGTGCTGATGATTAGGATTTGTAGCAATACACTGAAATTTATAGTGACTGTGTTTGAAAACAGTTATTCTGGACCAGTGCAGCAGTGAGTGAGAGCTGTGCTTTTGAAAAATGCTGTTRGGTTCAAATTGGTGTGAATGTTGGCTGAGTTTTCCAGTGTCATACAGTAAAAATGTCAAAGTCCTATAATGTTTGTGATGGAGATGCTGAGTGCACAGATAAAAGTAGGTAGCTCTTGTACAGCACTGGTCAACTGTAGAGTGCTAGAAAAATACGTATTTCCATTTTTACATGGAGAAGACTGAAGCATAATGTAGTGCAGTGATTGCAGAAGTCTGGAGCTGGTCTGGGAATAAAGTTCASCTTTCCTGGGTCCCAGTTCCTCAATGACCTTTTTGAGATGAACCCTCCTGAATTATCACTGAGGAGAAACCATCGTGCTGAATTGCATTCTCTTGGCAACACTGTGACTAGGAACATCCTAAAAGGATGCATGAACTATGGATAAACTTTTTAAAGAAAGACCTCAAAACCTGCTTTCTCCTAATCATGCCTGTAAGCTGCAGTATTACCAAGAGCAAGATATTCACCCTCGTAAGTCCCACGTGTTTCCAGGTAATGTCATGGTCTTATATAAGCTTCCACGTATTTCCTGTATCCAGGATCGTTCCTCAAAGGATTCTCTCTTCCCAAATGTCTGCTTTTTATAGAGAAGAGGAAGCTGTAACCTGCTCTTCAGTAAGGCATGTGCTGGAAGAAGAGTTTGCAAGTCTAAATTGTATGTGTTTTTAATGTGATCAACTGTTCCTAAAAATGGCAAAGCATTAGTGCTTCGTGCACACCAAAGGGTTGTAAATAAGAAACTCTCCAAAAATACCATAGTCTTTGGCACAGACAAGAGTATTTGGCAGGAAGTTTTGTCTGCAGATAGCACACAAGCTTACTGCATTAAAACTTTGGGTTTTTTTTTTTTTTTTTTTTTGGTAAAATCAGAAAAGGTTTCCCACCATTTTTGGCATGATAATTCGTATCTGAACTGATCTGGGGGACACTGCCTATAATTAAAGTTTATAGACTTATCCAATCATCAACTCCTACG